CTCAGCATTTGGATAGAAAGCCGTGTCCCAGGCGCAAACGACCTTGCGTTCCCCCTGGTGAGAGCTCTAAACCATTGATGCACCAGCACTGACCAACCAAGTCGAAAATAGTGAGACCTTTGACCCGAATCACTTCAGACTGGAATCAGAGGAGCGAGCATCGTTTTGAGCATCATTATGGCCCTTTTCATGTACAGTCCAAAGCACAAGTAATGTGCGGTTTCAGTCATGGGTATGTCCTGCTTCTGAAGCTTAGGAACGATTAGACAGACTACAATAAAACTTTGAATGTAGCTTACATGTATCGTCACACTTGCAGCTGCAACTTTATCTATTGACATCTTCTTTTCGATTACTCGGCATTAAAAAATCGCCAGTCAAAGCCATCCGTTGAGATTGATAAAACCGCACATTACTTTAGCGGTGGGCTGTACATCTTTATGAATTGGTCCTACGACAGTTGCCGCTCATAAGACAAATGGCTATCCCTATGTGCAGTCACAACTGTGCTCCTAGTCGGTATCTCACACGCCCCCAAACAGAATCTTAGCGAGGTCAGTGTATTCTACCACAATTCACAAACCATCTTCTGGTCGGTACACGTGGCTGAGGCGCAGACACTGGACTCCTTACACTGAGAGAGTCATCCACACTCCACAGCTATAACGACTGCCCGGCCGGCGACAGACCGTCTGCATTCAAGTCCACCTCGCTGCGTTGAACCCCGGATAAAATACACTGACGTGATGGTAGCAAGAGAGACCAACCACTGGTCTTCATCTAAGCGCGCATTCTGATCGGTAGAGAACTTCTCCAAAACACGTGAGATACTGATGACACTGGTGTGGGCGATGATGACGCTTTCTGACGTCACGATGACGCCGGATGACGTCCCGATGACGCCGATGACGGGCTTACAGGGCGGCGGGCAGTCTAGAAGGGTCGTCCCTGGTGAGGCCCGCCACGCATCATACCCGGCGGCGGCCCCCGCATGGGCCCCATGGGTCCGGGCCCTCCGCGGCCCATCTGGGGCGGTCCTCCGGGGCCCATACCTGTCGAAAGGTCAGAGGTCAGTTCAGGAGTCATCTCAGGTCAGTTCAGAGTTCAGCAGAGGGGTCAGCACATAGGTCACAACTCACATCACGCTCAGAGGTCAGCTTAGAGGCCACGTTAGCTCAGAGGAAAGCTCAGCCAGGTTTGGTGAGCAGATGTCACTCCTTAGGTGATAAAAGAAAGGATGGAAAGTATACGGAAAAAGAGTATGGTCGGCCATGCGGTGGTGATGAATCGTTAACATTCGAAGAAGCGACAACGCTCAAACCAGTTTTAGGTTAAAACGAACGGGTCTTATTACTGTGAGAACACTAACACATGCGCACAAACAAGGATATCAACTGAAATAAACAACAAATCATCCAGCTACGAGAATCGAAAGTTGTTCACGATGTCCAGCAAACAGATGCCACCCAGTACATCAACAACTGAGCCTGTTCTACATTTCCCCAAACTCCTCCGAATATAATAAACAATGTAATTCAATGCCGGCTATCACAGACCGCAAATCCTTTCCAAAGCCGCAGCTGAACAAACACGATTCCCCTGACAGTACTACGGACCAGCGCGGCAGTCACGGTGGCCAGTTCCCAGAATATGCCCAGCGGTTCAACGGGTGCACTGTCGGGCGTCCTAACCTATCCCACCAAAAATCGGGTGACCGAGGCCGGCCGCTCCGTCCCGGGAATTTAGACCGAACCGGGCAGACGACACAACAGCGGGCGGACGGGGTGGTAGGGAGTAGTGTGGGTACAGAAGGGACCTTTTGTGGAAATATCAGGCACAGAATATCAGCTACATAGATGGACCCTTGTGGACGCTACAAGATACAAACTGCACAGTGGACGCATCCATATCAGGTGATGCATGCTGACCACAGGCAGGATCAGGTGGGAATACCCAAATCAGAAGTGGCGATATACTACCAGGCAATGTTCTGCCAACGGACTAGGAACCACATAGCGGTTCCCAATGATATTATAATTACTTGTACCGCGCAATTATCTCATGTGAAAATCACACCAGAGATCGAAAATAAAGCACGACAAACAATTGCGGCCACACAGAACTAAAACCCATGGCAATAAATTTGCCCGGGAAGACCCCGACCCATCAGGTTGCATGACGAGCTACCTCTCTATCTTTCTTAGCACTCTCCGAAAACACACTACTCCCACAGGACAATACCTACACCACAAAGCAACGCATCTCTATTCTCTTCCCATTATGAACACAGCCACACAGCGCGCACTGTCCCACAGCCTAGTTATAGTAACAACCCCATCCCAGTGACCATACTGTTTCTCTCTCAGGCGACTCGCCACTCAAACTCCCTTTATGGGCTGTAGCTTACAACCAATCCCACCCCAGGCCTAGACCCCTCACACCCAAAGCCCCCCCCCCCTCCTTCCTTACCTCCCATGATGAGCCGTGGTCAATGCGTTCAGATACCCATACGTTAAAAAACGCCCGCTCCCCATGTCGATAATTTTCATTATCGTCATCATCATGTATGTGCGTACCTCTTGTGTCTTATCTACCTCATCATGTATGTGCGACTTACCTCCCATCATGGGTCGCGGCGGTCCACCGAGCAGAGGTCCCATCGGTCCCCGCATGGGCGGCATGCCGCGTCCCTGCGGCACCATCATCTGCTGGGAGGGTCCTCCTACTCCGCGCACCGGTCCCTGGAGGCCGGCGGCCGGTCCGGTGGGTGCAGCGCTCACTCCGCGGCCGGCGGCGCGGCCGGCGCCCGGACCCGGCCCGGCACCGGCGGCCGGCACGCGCGGCCCACGCTCGTCGGCCGGCGGCGGGCCCTCCACTGTCACCGAGACAATGTTCTCCCCGCGCAGCAGCACCATGCCCAGCACGCGCTTCTCCTCACGCTCGCCAGTCTTGCCGGCCTTGGCCTTGAGCTTGCGGAACTCCTCGCAGTCACACAGGATCAGGTTCATGTGCTTGTCGAACGCTGCACGGCACAGAGTGGAATTGTTACTATATCAAACAAACAAATCGGCGCGAAGTTAGCAATCTTTGTACACTTAACAAATGTACGAACAATCACGTCAATTAACCCGCGCCGTGCTGGGGGGGGGGGGGGGGGGGGCGACGGCGTTTCCCTTTCAGGTATTTTGCGAATATCTTAAAAACGGCCGCGGCCGCCGTTTTATAGCTTTTGGGGCATAGCTCCCACAGATTTGACCAACTGCCTCCCTGCCCTGCCCTATACCCTCAAACTGTTCTGTGCCCTGCTCTCAACCCTGTGCCCAGTTCTATGCCCTGTGCCCTACTCTGCACCCTTTCTTGTAACACCCTGTTCTCTGCCCTGCCCTGTGTCCTGCTCTCTGCCCTGTGTCCTACTCTCTGCCCTGCCCTGTGTCCTGCTCTTTGACCTAGCCTGTGTCCTGAGTCCTACCATGTTCCAAGATACCTACCCTGCCCTAAATCTTGACATGTGCCCTACCCTGTGCCTAATAATTTGCCAGCAGTTTATGTAGCTGTAGGGCTGACATCCATAAATGATTCTAAACCTTATTGCATATATATGCTCTCAGTGCCCTATCACAGCTATAGCATGTGCCCTCTGCTCAACCATGGGATGCAGAAAAAAACCCTGTAAAAATATGCCCAGATAAAGTGACACAAAAACAAAAACAGTAACCCCTGGTGTTGCTTCCCTAACATTATATGTAATGATGCAAGGACTCCTTGCATCATGATGTTGCTTGATCAATGCTGGACAGCTTTTACAGGAAGCTTCATTAAGAAATTTACTAGGCCTTGGAAATGAGATCAATAATATAATATTTTTCAGCTTTCTAAACTAGAGCTGAAAAAGATTATATTATTGATCTCATTTTCAAGGCCTAGTAAACTCTTAATGAAGCTTCCTGTAAAAGCTGTTCAGACAATACTGATCAAGTAACATCAATAACTGATAAATAAATGTGAAAAATAACTAAATAATATGATTTGGCAGCACTACAAGTTGATCCATCCCTATTTAGCTTGAGAATCTTGCTGCCGCTCACCCTTGAACGTTCCAATGAAGGTCCTGGAGTCCTGTAGCATCACCCGGATGCGGTAGTTGATGTGCTGCATCATCTTGTTATTCTTGCCCACTGTCTGTGAATCAGCATCAAAGGACTCAATCAGTGTTCAAGAATTAATTGATGACAGATTGGTAGCTACGACAGCACAGAAAACAGACCCAAGACCTATGACCATAGAATCGGCATAAATATACCCTGCAATTTGAATTGGAGAAAATTTTCACTCATCTCGTAACAACTGGATAGAATTATAATTAGCTGTCTTTAAACATGATGTCAGGATTTTAAATCAATTGCACTAAACTAACGGTAAAATACCTTAATGAGTAAAGTATTTTCAGTATTTGTAGTGCAGGGTTTAGATAACCCAATTGGGTTATCTGTCGGTTAACCGACAAAAGAAAAGCCAAACACACACCGATCGACAATACCCATTTTCGCGTTGCGGAGCACACGGGTCACCCTAGTCACTTACCATTTTGGTGTTGTTGATTTCAACACGGTAATATCAGTCAGACTTAATTAACTCTTATTTCAAACCAAAAATTAACCCCATAAACCCCACCGCCGATGCAAAACGTTTCTCTTCTTCTTCTTCTTCGAGGATTAGGGCGCGTAGCCGTCAAAACGTTTCTCGCCTTCCACGCTTCTTGCCTATTTCACTTTTGTATCAGCCATGCCATAAATGCCTCTTATACCGCCATTTTCTTTTCGAAGTGCTTTGGCTGATATTTGGCTCATTTTTCTTTCTTTCAAAGCATTTATCCATTTCATGAAATAAAAGGCTTAATACAAAATATGAAAAACTAAATTGCGTTCATTTTGAAGAAGCTTTTGAAGGTTTTTTAAAAAATATAATTTAAGATATATTCGTAAGCTTTTATAAATGTCCGCGAGGTGTCAGTGCGCTCGAAATCTATCAATTGCGCGCCGGCGGAGTTTCTTTGATATTTTCGAATTATCGGGGGACGTATTTCGGGCGGTGGTCTGCGTTTGTCCTTTCAATATAAGCGCTGTATTCAGGAGTACGGCTTTCAGAGCTTTCGGACGTTTTAATTCCCTAACATTGATGTCTTCAGGTGGACCTTTGAAGGTAATGATTATTTGAAAAGACCGCTCTCAGACGTATGCGGCGAATGTTCAGGTTTTAAATTTGTTCATGTTTGTACCGGTGCTTATACTTCGTGTCTTTATTGAGCAATTATTTGCTGGTGCTTCTGCCTTAGCTCAAGACTTGAATCACTGGACACAGGTCTGGGAAATGTTTGTTACCTATCTGTCCTTTACTGCAGGGCGCTGTTCGGTCGCAGTTTTTATCAGCAGGCTGCGAGTATACTGTTATTTCTTGGCTCCTCATTGGCCAAATTCACATGGTCTCTTCATTGGACCAATGAGAGGTAAAGAAGTGCCAGCAAGAACTTCCTTATATGGGAAAAACCAACAGTACGCTGATAAAAACAGCCACGGAACAGAGCTCAGGTCAAATACCTACAGTTACATCAAAGTGATTTTAAACAATTCCCAAGCAGCTTGCAGTGCAAATGCAAAGATTATACCAAGGCGATAAATACCAGGTGGTGATGTGGCATCATGAGAACTTATGCCCAAGGGACACTGTATTGCTTGACCTAATCTAAGGTAGCAACCGTTGGAAAGAACAATGAATGCAATTAGCCTAACATGAATGTTTTTTTGTCACCTGAAGCTGGCATATAGCAGTTATTCCTTTGTTTGCCATCATTTGTCATGCTGTGTGTCTTAGGCAAAGTCCAGACTGCAAAGCGTGGCATATGTGCGCCTGAGGTGCACCCAGTTTGATGCGAGTGCAAGCCTGGCAAATAGGAGTACACGCCTGTGTCCGTAATTTGTATGCCTGGCACGCAGCGTTTCAAGCTCAAGCTTATGTACTTGCCCCACAAGCATAGGTATCGATGTTGAGGATCATAGCAAGACTTACCAGCAAGAGGCATGCTTCAGCAGCTGTAAGAAAAGCCACTCAAATGTTAGCGGTGATATGACGCTCCTTCGTGCTTCTCGATCAGCAAACAGTGCCACTGTTGTTCAAATGCCTAGTGAGACCTCATTTGGAGTACGGCAACCTTGTATGGGGCCCGCACAACAGAGCTGACCAGAAACTCGTTGAAAGAGTTCAACGTAGAGCTACTCGGCTGGTAGCAAGTCTCCGTCAACTGCCCTACGAAGACCGACTTAGGACTCTGAAGTTGCCGTCTCTATACTACAGGCGAAGAAGAGGCGACATGATAGCGACCTACCGGATCTTCCATGGCGGCATAGATGTGGATCCAATCAGTTTATTCACGCTCGCTACCGACGCTTCTACGAGAGGTCACCAGTTCAAGATCCGGAAAGTCCCAGCTTCAAGCAGAGTCAGGAGGTCAGCTTTTGCCATTCGGGTGGTAAACAACTGGAATGGGCTGCTGGCCGAGGTTGTTGGCTCTCCTTCGCTGAACGTATTCAAAAGCCGTCTGGATGCCCACTGGGCTCCGCTTCAGTATCTGGTGCCTGACACTGACTGAGTCGAGTCAAAACGGAACACATGAGTTCGATGAGAGCGGGACCTCCAGGCCTTAGTGCCTTTACATATCCCGATCACTTGAAGGTAAGGTAAGGTAAGGTAAGATTTTCCTGACAAATAGGTCATTGACCTGACCTGGGAGGTCAGCCAATGATCGAAGATCTAAAAATTTGTTACCATTCGCTTCCTCTTGTCATAGCAATACACTTGTTTTTTTTTTCCGCGAGGCTCTACCTCGATTAAGGGTCCGGCGTTCAGATGAAACCCAGGTCCGCTGTCTGATAGAGGTTACTCCGCCCGTCTCCCATATATGCCAGATGCAGTGAAAATCCTGGAATTTGTGGCAATGACCGCACAAGTGATCTGTCACACTCGCAAATTTAATCCCAATCATCCCAATGAACAGCGCTGAGCGCTCTTACAAATGTGCGGTAGTTGTGAGATGTCTTCCCGTGCATTTCTCATTTGTTTCATTAGCAAGCTTCGAATGAAAGCTCTCCAGGCATGTAGGTACGGCTCTCGCGAGATTAAGCGGTAGGTTTTGCACTTCTACATTTCCGGTTATATCTCAGAAACTAATCGATCTACGATGAAGCCATTTTACACGATCACGGCCGACTTGTTACCCAACAAGTCGATCGCATCTTCAACACTTAAAAGCTTAAGATGACAAAGATATAGCCTGAAGTACACCAATTTTTCTAGGAGCAAAACCTACCGCTAAAACCCGCGAGACCTGTACGCTCTGATTCGTTACTGCGCGCCTGGGCCGTGCATTGCACGCCTGAATAAGGCTAGAGGAGGCCCTGTGCACGCCCGAGATCTCGTCGAATCGAAACCTGCCACGTTTTTCAGTCTGGGGAAAAGTGGTAGGACATTTTACTTTCAGCGTGAGCCAAAATACGAAGGTGAATCGGTGAACGACCATCCCTTTTACAGCTCAACATACCCGAAGCTGCAGGCAGCCTGCGTCCCCTGCTCACTTGTACCCAGTGTTTCATTGGCAGCAAATGCTCTGCTGACACTCGCCCCATGTTCTTGTCGACAGCAAATGTTCAGTAACATGGCGGCAGCTGTGAACGGTGCCGCCAACGGAGAGACGGCCGGCGGCGGCGGCGGGGACAAGGCCGCCGCCGCCAAGGCGGCCAAGCGGCTCTCCGTCGAGCGCATCTACCAGAAGAAGAGCCAGCTGGAGCATATTCTGCTGCGGCCCGACACCTACATCGGCTCGTGCGAGCCGCTCACCGAGACCATGTACGTCTACGATGACGAGCAGGGCATGCACCAGCGCGAGATCACCTTCGTGCCGGGCCTGTTCAAGATCTTTGACGAGGTGCTGGTGAACGCGGCCGACAACAAGCAGCGTGATCCCAACATGGACACCATCAAGATCGAGATTGATTCGTGAGTTGACGAAGGAAAGGATCCATAAGGACATGATTATGGGGTGGGTAGTTAGATGATCAATGCATCGCGTCATAAAGTATTGGGATACTCATAGGTGTTTGACACTTTGTGGCGCGCCTTTCACGGGACTTTGATTTATCATTGATAATTGTATTTGCTAAATATTGGTGTTTTCTTAGTGGGCAAATCAAAATGTATCGTACGATGTTTTCATTGTGTGTAAACGTTTCTAATGTATGTAGTGTTTCCTTTGAGTTCTTTAAAGCTTTCTTCAGTAGGCATGTGCGCTTTAACATGTCACCGAGCTTTGATGTCGTTTCACTTGCATTCGATTTTTCAGCGAGAACAACAGCATTTCCATCTACAACAACGGCAAGGGCATCCCGGTGGTGACGCACAAGGACGAGAAGATGTACGTGCCGACGATGATCTTTGGACACCTGCTGACCTCTTCCAACTTCAATGACGAGGAACAAAAGGTGTGTGTGTGGTGTGGCGAATGACTGATTATGGGATACCATAATTCTGTTGCATTCTATTGCTCAGTGCTTATTCCGAAGATGTTAATTATGCCGTAAATGGGACGCTGACTTTCGGCAGGAATTGGAGCATAGTTATTTCTCCTTTGCATTATTAGAGCTGAAAAGTTGAGCTGAGGTGTGTGATTACGGAGCGAGCGAAGCGAGCGGAGTCTTTCCTTAGATTAACGGAAATTTCTGAGTATGAGCGGCCGGCCGGCCGGCCGTGCGGACGCTTTTCCGAGGCTTATATCTCAGCAACCACTTGACCAATTTACACGCGGTAATTTTTGTAGGGTAGCTTCATTCCTTCTACCAAGTATTGGACTATTCCCGATGCATGTGGGTGACCCCTTATGCACGTGCCACGTACAAAACGAAGACGTGTCAGTTTTGTAATTGTTGCAATATCTCGGTAACTACTTGGCCGATTGCGCTGAAAGTTGGCATGTAGGTAGGCACCCACTAGGCACTGCATATCCATGTGCCAGAGTTGGGGTGCTGCTGCATGTGCGCACGTGCAGGGTTCGTTTCCAGATCTCGAGAACGGCTCGGCCGATGGCGCTCAAATTTGGTACACGGCTAGCCACCAGTTAGTAGGGTGCCGTGTACAAGTCAGTTGGGACCCATTTTGCACGTGCGCACGTGCAGGGTGCCGCTTCCAGATCTCGAGAACGGCTGGGCCGATTGTGCTCAAATTTGACACATCGCTAGAGACCGGTTTGTAGGGTGCCGTGCACAATTCAGCTGGAGGCACCCCCTCGAAATTTCGCACGTGCAAGGCCCACCCTCTCGCTCGCTCCGTTAGTCGCCCCCAAAGGCGTTATACTGGTGTATTTATATTGCCATTCTGCTAGATATCTCTTCATAACGTGTCGAATCATCATTCAAGACGGGGTAGCTTTGATGCGTGAACATATGTTTACGGAGCGAGCGAAGCGAGCGGAGTCTTACGTAGAATAACGGAAATTTCCGGCCGGCCGTGGTCACGATTCTGCGACGCTTATATCTCAGCAACCACTTGACCGATTTACATGCGGTAATTTTTGTAAGGTAGCTTCATTCCTTCTTCCAAGTATTGGACTATTCCCGATGAATGTGGGTGACCCCTTATGCACGTGCCACGTGCAAAACGAAGAGGTGTCACTTTTGTAATAGTTGCAATATCTCTGTAACTACTGGGCCGATTGCGCTGAAAGTTGGCATGTAGGTAGGCACCCACTAGGCAATGCATATCCACGTGCCAGAGTTGGGGTGCTGCTGCACTTGCGCACGTGCAGGGGTCGATTCCAGATCTCGAGAACGGCTTGACCGATGGCGCTCAAAGTTGGTACACGGTTACGGAGCAGTTAGTAGGGTGCCGTGCACAAGTCAGTTGGGACCCATTTTGCACGTGCGCACGTGCAAGGTGCCGCTTCCAGATCTCGAGAACGGGTGAGCCGATTGTGCTCAAATTTGGCACATCGCTAGAGACCGGTTAGTAGGGCGCCGTGCACAAGTCAGTTGGAGGTACCCCCTCGCAATTTCGCACGTGCAAGGCCCACCCTCTCGCTCGCTCCGTTAATCGCCCCAAAAGGCGTTATGCTGGTTAATATGTGGCTTTCCCGCAGGTGACTGGAGGCAGGAACGGTTACGGTGCGAAGCTGTGTAACATCTTCTCCACCAAGTTCACTGTGGAGACGGCCTCCATCGATTACAAGCGCTCCTTCAAGCAGACGTGGGCCAACAACATGTCCAAGACCTCTGAACCAAAAGTCAAAGACTTCCATGGATCGGACTTCACCAAGGTATGTTCCTTGTTCCACATAGGCACTGAGTTTTGTTTGAACTTTTTTTGTTGGAAATATGCTGACGTGATATCGTCCACCGATTCATGATATCATGATGACGTCCAACGATTTGACCACAGCAAGCATGCTTCAAAACACCTGGTCTCGTCTCACCCTGCTGGCCTGTGCATTTCATCAGCGAACTGACCTCTGTCCCTGTCTCTATCAGGTGACGTTCAGTCCCGACCTGGATAAGTTCAAGATGACCTGCCTGGACAAGGACACGGTGGCGCTGCTCTCGAGGCGCGCCTACGATGTGGCCGCCAGCACCAGGGGCGTCAAGGTCTTCCTCAACGGCAAGCGGGTGCCGGTAAGTAGCGTGTCGTCAAATGAACCGGGAAGTGTGTGGTGTTACCTCGCTAGTAGGGCGGGAATGATAATCGATGAGTAGGACTGAATATGGTGTGGTGGGTAGGTGCACGGTCGTGGCTTGTGTAATTCAGTGGCTATTTTTTGTTAACATTTTTGTTGTTTGTACAAAATTGTTTAGATCGATGAAGTTAATGAATCAGCTATCAATTAAGATCGAGAACAGCCGACGATGGTTTTGAGCCTCTCCAGAGTTTATTGCTCCACCAATACGTCTTGGACCTGCTTGAGATCCCTGTCTGCCCCTGCCCTCAGCTGAACGAAGAGCGAGACCCCTGTCTACCATTCTCTCGACTGACCACAGCCTCTGCTCGCCTCGCTCTGACCCCAGGTGAAGAACTTCAAGGACTACGTGGAGCTGTACCTGAAGGACAAGGTGGATGACACGGGAAACCAGATTAAGTGTGTCTACGAGAACTGCGGCCCGCGCTGGGAGGTGGCCGTCGCCATCTCGGACAAGGGCTTCCAGCAGGTCTCCTTCGTCAACAGCATCGCCACCACCAAGGTCAGCTCGGGAAGAAGGGAACGGAGAGAGTGGATTGGCCTGTAACGGGTAAATTGGGAATTGGGATCCTACTCGATCGGTTTAAAACGGACGTTGAGTGATTGGACTGGGGGTTGTTTCATGTTTGGTCTCATGAACCTATCAGCCCTGCATATTACCGGCAGTCATTGATTTGGTCTGTCCATATTGATCAAAATTCTGCCGTGCAAACGCGAAAACTACTACGTGAGGCAAGATTTCTTTACTACTCTATGTGATTACTATGTTACCTACTATATGTGATTACTATACGGTTACTTTACTTACTATGTGAGGTCAGACTCTGACCTCACATAGTAGTTTTTGCCTTTTGCCAGGTCAGACTCTGACCTCACATAGTAGTTTTTGCCTTTTGCCAGGTCAGACTCTGGCCTCACATAGTAGTTTTTGCCTTTGCACGGCAGAATTGCCACTCGGTGGCAGCGCAGGGCGATGTGAGAAGCACAATTAGAACTGTCGCACATTTCGAGTTTCATCAGCATGCTGGTTACGTCGTTCGCCACTGTGTTTGTGTTTGGTTAATGGTTAAGTCTCGGGTAGGGGCTTTCGCGTATAGGTGACGCTGTAGGCGGTTGGACACACCGTGTGTGGCACTGTCCGCTTCGTTGGTACCGGTCTATGCGATAGCACTTCCGATACCGCGAGAGATTCTGGATAGCATCACAGTCTTCCATCCTCCTAGCACCAGATGGTTTTTCATCGGGGGTTCTGCCTGCCTTTTGTGATTTCAAGCTGCTAACCTTTCTGGCCTAGATGACCAGCTGTAAATACAGGCGACCTTTCAGTCCTCTGTGACTCCTGATTGCTGATCGATTTGTGACTCCAAACCTGCCAGCCCTGTGATAGACGACTGCTGGCGTGTATAACCTCTGAACAATAACCTTTTGGGCCGTTTTGGCGATAAATCCTGATTCCTGACCTGCGTGAACCATTGCTGTCTCCCTTCTGGCTCGCCTAACCAGTAACCCGTGTCCCATCTGCAATCTATTACCCGGCCTGATCGCTGACCTGTCGGCTGCGTCGCTTTTCTGACCTCTGTTTCTCTCTCCAGGGCGGTCGCCACGTTGACCACGTTGCCGACATGATCATCAAACAACTGATCGAGACTCTCAAGAAGAAGAACAAGGGCGGCGTACAGATCAAACCGTTCCAGATCAAGAACCACATGTGGGTGTTCATCAACTGTCTGATCGTCAACCCGGCGTTCGACTCACAGACCAAAGAGAACATGATTCTGCAAGTGAAGAGCTTCGGCTCCAAGTGTACCCTATCGGACAAGTTCATCGGACAGGTGAGATTTGGTGGTGGAATTTTCTCCTAGATACCGCGTCGGTGTTTTGCTGGGAGATAGTGAAGCTAATTGACTAAGTTCTGGTGGAGTTGGAGAAGTTCAGACAGCGTCTGACGGCTGAGGATGTTGTGGGGCGGTATCGCGGGCAATAACCGCCCGGATGGCTACCCAAATGTCCTGTTGTTATTGTCGAACTGCGGGCAAGTGCTGGCCACCGGCCTATCGAACGTAATCGAAGCGACGTTAATGTGGCACTGATGACCACCCGAAGCCGTTCAACTCGCCTTCACTCGACATTTGAGGGCACTAGTGTCTTTCCCAGTGTTTGCAGTGGTGCAACTTCGCCCCGAACGATCTCCGCTGGCCCTTCCGACCCGCTCTACGGACCGGTAACGGTCCGAACTCGCATCGACCACCGATGGTCTTTGTCGGGTGATGTTTTGCACCCAAGTCGGTCTCCTCCGTCCGGGCCGGTACCGCCGAGTCGGCCACTCAGTGCTCTGACCTTTACAAACGATCTTTGTGACATTCACAGGTGTTTCTTTGGTCGGAACTTCCTCTGTGGCTCCCGACTTGCGTAATATGTCTGATTTCTTGTCGCCAGGTGAACAAATGCGGTATCGTCGAGTCGGTGATGGCCTGGGCCAAGTTCAAAGCCCAGTCGCAGCTCAACACCAAATGCAACTCCAAGAAGCAGAATAAGATCAGAGGCAAGTACCCGCCCGTCCCGAATGAAAAGTGAAAGCGTAGTGCGGTGTTGTTTCACCCCCAGCTGTTGTCCTCATCTCAAATGGAACTGCGCGTTGCATAATGGGACTTTTCTGAAAATTGGTATTTACTCATGTGCCGTATTTATAGCCACAAAGGCGGTCGCTTGTGTGCCTTTATATCACAGCTGAGATCACAGAAGTACCGGGACGTCTCCTATTTCACGCTTTTTGCGCCCGACTTTTGCGTGTTCCTCTGTGCTCCATGTGTAACTTTACTAGCTGTCTTACAGCAAAAGCTCGTACATCCTATTTTGTTATGTAACTCTAGCTCTACAACTACGCGTGATTTGAGTCTACTTTCTGGCTATTTTGGTGGGCCCGGACTTTCCCCAATTCCCTCTGCTCGCCGGCCGGTTCCTAAAGCACTTACAGCGACCGATGGTCGATGGAAGAGTGCTTTTATTAGCCACATAGCCAGTTCCGACGCACATTGTTCTACCTATATTTGCGGCGCTTCTCCTCCCGTGTGCGTGACTGTGTGCGGGGCGATACCCCGCGGGGACGGAATCCTATCCAATCACTGCCTGCGTGCTCAGCGGCAGCTGGTGGCCCCGATAGTCCGATAATTCTCCGCGCTGTCCGATCTATCCGCTGTCTGATTTGCCGTGGTCGCGTGACTTTGTAGATGATCTCGAGACGAGTCCGACTCTGCTGTGTACTCGGCTGTATGCCTGTGAAGATTAGAGGTCTGGAGACTAAAGACTTTGTTTCAAAGCATTGCGTTGAATTGTTTGACACCGCGAAGTGTCTTCAATTGCACGTGATGTTGTATATTTATGCCAGACCTCCCCACTTTCATTGCAATCCAGCATTGCAAACTTTGACGCCGCCAGCCGGCACAAGTACTCTGTCATAAACCGTTCTCCTCAGGAAGCCTTAGGAAGCATTTAGAGGAGTCGGATCGCCTTATCCCCACCCAGCATTGATAGGAGTCGGATCTTCTGACCCTGTCTCCCTTCGGACAGGTATCCCAAAGCTGGAGGATGCCAACGACGCTGGCACGCGCTACTCCCAGGACTGCACACTGATCCTCACGGAGGGAGATTCGGCCAAAACTCTGGCCGTCAGTGGTCTGGGTGTGGTCGGACGAGACCGCTACGGCGTCTTCCCGCTCAAGGGAAAGCTGCTCAACGTGCGGGAGGCCTCGCACAAGCAGGTGAGATGTGGTGGGAGGTGGTGAGGTGAGCGGCGTGGAGAGAATGGGAAAGGGAGCAGGAGGGACATTGAGTCTGCACAGGTCTGCATAGTGCATAGTGCATAGTACGTACAGTCATGGAAACCGGGCAGTTTTTAGGGAAGAGGCTTATATGTTGTGCCTTAGCATATATGTGTGGGATAGCAAGGCTTTGATGTTCAAACATTTTCCAAACAAATTTAAAGCCGACCTGCAGCCGGCGCTCAGGGATGGCGCACCGCTGTCCGACGGCCGGCACATCAGCTATTCCTCCGACGTAAGCGGTATAATTGAACTATCGGCGGTTGTAATTTGAGCTCGGCGCTGGCACACGAGGGCAGCCTGCGCTCGTTCGGACCCGTTCAGCCCGATAGGTCAATGGCGCCCATGGGCCGGCTCGGGGCCAACTGTGCGCTATTGCGGTAATCTCCCATGGCGGCGGTGGATTCAGCTCAGCTGGGACACCCCCGGCCCCCGTCCGCCGGCCGCTGGTGAAACTCCGGCCAAAACGGCCCTCGGCACGCCGGCACTGAAGAATCGACTCGCCTCCTAATTGATAGGTCGCTTAAATCGGCCCATCTGCGTCTTTAACGGAGCTCTCCGTCGAGTAGCGATTGGGGTTAGCGACGGTCGGTCGTCGGAAACCTAATGGGGCTATCCGACCCCCCCCCCCCCCCCGGATAGGGGAACGAGGGGCGAGTGACGGCTGGGACGGGAGTTAAGTTGACCGTGCTCGCTTCCGGTGGTGCAATGGACAGGAAAGGCTTGGCCGAGCGGCCGGCAGCGGGGACGGATATAGGCTCCGAGATCAGTTCCCCGATGGTTTTGTGTAGTTGACACTAGATAGCGGTGATACGAAGGAGCTGATATTACAAAAATATGGTGTGTCTATTCCCGGTAAATGCGGGATCCGCGACAGCCGCGAGCTGAAAGGGTTATCAGTGGTGTTATGAAAGTGTTGATTGGCTTGCCAAATCAGTTAATCAAAGTGTGATGCAATGATATTGCATGGTTCATTAGTCACTATTCAGAGCTCCAATATACCTTATTGATTTGGTTGGGGTGAGTAACAATGGATTTGTCTGGGTAAAGCCATTGCACGTAATTTGCCCACGTCTGGCTACATCTCTGCAAACATAACACAAAACAAATATTACGGCTTTTTCGATTACAATTGACAATGGACATGGGACAGTGACTCTTAGCTATTTATTGATGGGTATAGAAAATTATACCCATCAATAAATAGCTAAGATTCGTATGAGAGCTGGCTCACAAGAACATGGAAATGGCTGCAGCAGGGATGTCTGGCAATTACATTCTTCGGAATGTTTGAGACGAGGTGTTAAGATTGGTATTAAGATTGCGGATGCTAGTAGTCGGACTTTCGACCCCGTCTTGAGTTGGAATGTTAGCTTCACGACATTGTTTGTAATCATATAACCGAACTCAAAAAAGTTGACCGTAACATCGCATTACCGTCTGTTTCCAGATTCTGGAGAACGCAGAGATCAACAACGTGATCAAGATCATGGGACTGCAGTACAAGAAGACGTACGACAACGCCGAGGATCTGAAGACGCTTCGCTACGGCAAGCTGATGATCATGACAGATCAGGATCAGGTATTTTCGGGTCTTTGGTACATGCTTTGGTGTACGTTGCATGGATAATGAATTAACATTGTTGTTTTTCTTTCTCGTGCTCGGAAAAATCCTTCGAAAAAGTATATCTTAGCTGCAGACAAGGACGGCGTGTTGAATGTTTTATCAGATATTTTGAAACAGTCGTAAAGCCGGAGTATTTTCGTGTGGCCATTGTTTTGTGTCAATAAAGTCCACATTTTCCCTGCATTCCGGCATCTTTGCTTTTTGCGTTGCCTTCTGTCCTATATCATTCTTACGCATGCAAGAATCAGGTAAGGCCTTTTTTCTCGTATGGTTTCGCGCCTGGCTCTGACGGACGTCTTTGATCTATGCCGCGGTATCTGACGTGTGTGCCGCCGCACCTGACCGTGTGTCCCTGCCGGCGCCGGACAGGACGGCTCGCACATCAAGGGCCTGCTGATCAACTTCATCCACCACAACTGGCCGACTCTGCTGCGACAGCCCTTCCTCGAGCAGTTCATCACGCCCATCGTCAAGGCCACCAAAGGAAAGGAGGAGGTCAGCTTCTTCTCCATCCCCGAGTTCGAGGAGTGGAAGCAGAACAAGTCCAACTGGCACACCTACAAGATCAAGTACTACAAAGGTATTTACTTCGGGATGGAAGGGGACGCTAGTTTTTGAAGTGAGTTTTTTTTTGTGATGCAGGCTTGCTATGGCAAAGTCCATGGCTATCTATTATTTTTCAGGAATTTAGTTCGAATGTTTGTGTTGGGCGATGGTGGGCTCAACTGTAATTTGTACCAAACGTATTGTCATAATTCACGAGAGAACGTGAGATGTGCTTTGCCGCACAGCTGAATTACGTTTCACAGCATTTTCAGTTTTTTTTTCTTTTGTTGCGGGCCACACAATTTAATAGAAAATGTTCATTGTTACATGAGAAAAACATAATCTTGTGTATCGCTCTGCTTGGGAAAGAAGCTTATATGCAGATATATCATATGCATAACATGTTTATCCAAGAAGATAAAAACGCGGGCACTTCCTTACCGGTGCTTCACTGGTTTGCATGCTCTAGTTATTGTTACTTATGTTAACCCGCGCCCTGATGGGGGGGGGGGCATTTTGGCCCCCCCTGTGGTTTTTCTTAAATAGCGAGAAAACGGAGGCGCGCAGCGCCGCCAAATTTTGGGTACCTTACCGCACATCAATTTGACACCTTCACACAAAATTTCAAGTCACAGGTCACCTCAGGTCAGGAGTTATTGAGGTCAAACTGAGGTCATGTTCGAGTAAAAATGAGCAAAAAACATGACATCTTGAAACGCTCACCAATTCTACAGTTAACAAGCAATTTTAAAGTTCTTTATGTGGTTGTGTAGAAAAAAGACGGCGCTACAAAACTGCTATCTCGGATTTTCGAAATTTTTGGATTTTGACCCCCAAAAATCAAAAAAATTGATTTTTTTAGAAAAACTCAAAAAATTTCCAAAAATTTTTAGAATTTCGAAAAAACCGGAATATATGTGATAGTCCCTGCGCTCTTCGATATACATACCAAATTTTAGATCGATACCTCTTTTTTTGGCCAAGTTATAGCGAAAAAACTGTTAAAAATTGATGACGTCAAATTTTTGAACTCAATTTTTAGCAATTGTAGACCTCGTAGCGCAAAACGGAGACCACCATTGAACTCCCCGTGACGAGCTGCATCGAATCGATACCCATTTTATGCAAAAATATCAACTTTGAAATTTGACCTAATTTGACCTGACCTTGACCTGACCTTGACCTGACCTTGACCAAAACGTGACCTAAGCTGGCCCTAAAGTCTGTCTGACCCACATATTCGCATTTGTCATGTAAAATGGACCATAAAACATGTATCACACGACACTTTCATATTGTGACCCCCCAGTGACCTGACCTCTGTGACCTGACCTGGTATCAGTGACCTCAAATAGCAAAATATGTGTTTGAAGAACATTTCCCCATCGATGATTTTCAATGAAATGCATTTTACACGATTTTACACAGCATTTCTTGAAATGCCTGTAAACGGTGAAAATTCGACCTTTGACCTGACCTGTGACGTCATCGGTTTGACCGAGGTCAATGAAATTGGGTCACAAGGTAGTTCCCCGTTGGGGCTATCCAACACCGTTTACCGCTTGTCGCTATGTTGCGTGGTTCTCGAGATCTGAGGGGGGGCCAAAATGGCCCCCCCCCCATCAGACCGCGTTGCTCGGCAGACCCCATCTGGGCGCGGGTTAATGGCTAGAACAAATTTGCTTTTAAGACAGCTTGACCGAATATAACAGCTCCGGTAAATTTAAAGTGTAAGATAAATCTGCGCTTGCGTACAAAATAAATATATTTCATTTTTAGATAAAGATAAAGTAGCAATATGGATTAGGATGCATGCACACACCAACTTTGATACACTTTGGTTTAACCTTCGCCCCAGTGGGGGGGAGGGGGCATATGTTACCACCCTGTCGCGTTTTTTGCGTGTGAATAAAAAACCGCGGCGCTACGCGCCGCGCCGCTTGGGGTAGCTTTTGGTACATCAATTTTAGACAATGTGTGAAATTTTTGACCCCAGGTCATGTCAGGTCAGGTCACCAGATCAAGTTAACTGACCAAGCCTAAAAAAGTTTGCAATCATGTCCAGCCTGCAGTGTTTGTCAGAAAGGTTTTAAACTTGGTGGATTGCATGCTGTTGTGGGCGCCTACAATTTGTATATCTCGGATTTTTTATATCCGTGACCTAAGGTCAGGTCAGTGGCGTGACCTTTCCATTACAAGTCAATGGAGAAAAATGAAAATGCCTCTAGATCCGTGTGTACGCATCGGAACAGTCCAAATATTTCAGAATCATGATTTAGTCCACTCGTGATGACCAAGGTGTCATTTTTGCTGATAGCCTCTAGACAGGTCATCCGAGGTCACTTGAGGCTACAAACAGTTTTTTGCCAATAACTCGCGATTGGAAAGAGATAGAACGCTGGGGATGGTCTCATTGTCTTTGTCTTGTTGAGACGCATCGCCTGATATGCAACATGACCTTTTCCGGTAAGGTCATGACCTTGACCTGAGGTCAAATTTTCAAGTTGACCTTTCAAGGTCAAATTATAGTTCATTCGACGCGTCTCGGCGAGGGGAACACGATTCTGGCAATATAAATGTCGTGGCTTTTTGTAGTCGAAAGTTATTGTCGAAAAACACTTTTCGTAAAAACAGCTATTTTTGGAGTTTTTGCCCTCTGGAGGCTAAACCGTTGACCTGAGGTCAATATTGATAATGACCTTTTCAAAAGAAGAGTTCAAAAGCTATCGTTTGCTATTCCATGCGTTTTTCTAGCTACCATAGTTCCTGAGATAGCGGCATGTTTTCTGAAAAATATAATGACAGTTGGCAAATTTTGACCTTTGATGACCTCTGGTGACCCCAATATTGCTCTAAGGTGAAAAATGACTAAAATACTTTCAAACGTACGCATTGAGAGCTATCGACTGCTTTTTACCGCGTCTTTCTAGCCCTCTTAGTTTTTGAGTTAGATGTGGGTGGTAACATATGCCCCCCCCCCCCCCCACTAGGGCGAAGTTGGCTGAGACCGCCACTGGGGCGCGGGTTAACTTTGGTAGACTGCTAATAATGCACTAACGTATAAGTTGGCAGTATAGAAGTCCGTCCCGGGCGTTGTTCCTCCCGCGGCGTTAATGCTGTGCCTCTAACTCCAGGTCTGGGTACCTCCACCGCCAAGGAGGCCAAGGAATACTTCTCGGACATGTCGCGTCACCGGATCAAGTTCCGCTACGAGGGGGACGCCGCCAACCGAGCCATCAACATGGTAAGCAACTCCCAATGAACCTCCTCTCCCTCCATCGCCCAGTTTCATCCCTAGGCTCTCCGTTTACCTTGACCTTGACCCCTCGTTCCCCTGTCCGCTCCAGTCTCCCCACGGCGGGCAGACCGCTCTGCCACGGGCGATAGGACCTCAAACGATTCACCGACGCCACTCTATCCTTCTCCGGCTGCTCTGCCCCCCCCCCCCCACGTGTGTCACGTCAGACCGTCCGAGCGCGAACGCATCGTCTCCCGCTCTGATGACAAACAATACACCCACTCGGCTCAGATCTATCCGCTGCGGGCTACGGGCGTGGAGGGTTAGAAAACAGATGCATTGCATTCCTGCGTCACAAAGACAGAGTACTCGTTGAGTTCTCAGGCGCTCGAGCCGGTCGCTGGAGTTCTGGAGGTCTGGAGAAGCACATGCCTGTCTTTCTAAAGCAACGTGATTTGTCACCGGGCCGATTCATATCATTGTGTGCGTGTGTGCAGTTTTCCGGCTGACCGCGCGGCTTCAGAGACGACCTGCGGCGGCGGCGGCGGCCCGTATTCAGAGTCAGGATATTTGATGGAACCGCCCTGGGGCTGGTCGGTGTGTCGACCGGCGCCGCGTGGCTCCTTCCTGCCCCCAGCCCCTCCCCGGCCCCGAGATCTGGGAACTACAGGCGCTCCGAGACGCCGAATCGCCCCTCCGCATCGTGAACGTATGAAATGCGCTTTTGAGAGTAACTTGCTGCTTTTATGTTCTGTCCAAATTGCCATTCTTGAATGGTAGATCAAAGTGTCATTCTTTGAGAGCCACTCAAGACCTCCGCGTCATCTCTGTCTTTTCTTCTCATCTTTTGTGCTGTTACTGTCATAGTTGGTCCGAAGTCTGGTCCCCGATTTCGATGGCGGAGCTGGGCAAATCCCGTGTGGTCCGTCGGGCTCGCCACTCGTCCGGCCCGCTGGACACAGCTGCTCGGCAGCACTGTTCTAATCTCCAGCGGCGCTTCCATCTTGACGGACTCACCGTTATATTTCCTATGGCCATTATAGCTGCGATCCCGTCGCCTACGGTTGGCAACAACGCCTCTATAGCAATGCCTGCAGAACAGACCACTGAAGCGAGCCGAATGGCCAGGGAACTGGGAGGATCGGGTAGGGGCCTTATTGTTTCCGGTAACCGGTCAGCCTTCTGATGGTGTATTTCTGGTTTGGAGCTGACACGCAGAAATACGTGCAATGTGCATTGTGTGCTGCACTGTGGACATACTTTTAGCTTTATTTGATATTTCTTTTGGTGCAGCGAGATGATTAATTGAAGGACTCATCACCGACCAATCATCAAAATCTGGCACTGTGCAGTTGTGCTTTGTTCATTGAGTTTGTGTCATCATTTGGTCTCGTATCGTGTGTCACTGCAGGCGTCTTCTAAAGATACCTCACCGACCGGAAATTGCTCGTTCCATTAACCGGTTTCGACCAGTTTTACTTCTTTAGGGGTGTAAGGATGATCGTTCGATGCTCTAACTTGGCACATTTCAAGAGACGGGCCGGCATTCGTTTTCCGGAAGGTCGGCTTCCAATAACCATTGCATACATTAGTGGGTTAATCAGGGCACGGCCGTAAATAATATATCGGCCGGTCGGCCCGCCGCTGCCGCCGCCGTTCGTCAGCCGTGCTGGCGTATAGACGCGCCAGAGCAGCCACCAACGCATAACGCGCGCCGCGGGGCGTGCCGTTGGCGCGCGACACTTGGTGTCTCGGCTCGGGCCGGTGACACTTATACTGTCTCTAATCAGTCGTTTGTATGCGCTCCTCTCGAGCTCCCGGTTCTACAATCCCATTAACGCGGCTGGCCTCGGGCGTCAGAGCCAATGACGGCCCGCCAGAGTCGCTCATTTTGTTGCTCAAAGCAAAGAGCCTTTTTTACTCTAGCCGAAATTCATTTTTCACGGCTGCCCGCTCCGGCTTTTAGCGCTAACTTTGTGCACCTTCCGCTTCTTTGTCGACGGAAACACTCCGGTGTGCGTGAAACCCTTTGAGAGGTGTGACTTTCCTGGCTATGTTTTATCTTCAACCCTTTGGGGGAGTCACCCAGCACGGTTTTGCTATCAACAGCAATTAGCTGAGTTTCCAAACAGTTGGCTGCTTTCAGAGCTGGTTTTGAAGGCATTTCGCTAAAAGTTAGCTTGTGTGGGTAGCTTGCGTGGGTTATATTGAAAAATCCCTTCTTGAGTAGCCAGTAGCGGTAATCAACTGCATCAAATGAGATGTAATAATAAATCATAAACTTTATACTATTTCAGCTCGCCCCATTGTGCTTGGAAACATCAGCTGCTGCTATGCGGTACAAATGCTTCAACTAAACATATATGATAGTTGTCGCCCAAACACATAATGTAATTGCCTGTCAAGCCAGTTCTTGCTTCCATGATTGTGGCCAGTTTGATCCGGACTCAACTAACGGTTTCGCCATCCCCGGCCTACAGGCGTTCAGCAAGAAGTGCGTCGACCAACGCAAGGAGTGGCTGACCAACTGGATGGAAGAGTGCAAACGCCGCCGGGAGCTGGGTCTGCCCGAGCTGTACCTGTACGAGAAAGACACGCGCGCCGTCAACTTTACCGACTTCGTCAACAAGGAGCTGGTGCTGTTTTCGAACCTGGACAACGAGCGCTCCATCCCGTCACTGGTCGACGGACTGAAGCCGGGACAGCGCAAGGTAGGTGTCGACGGGAGAGGGAACCGGCGGGTGAGGGCACTCCCGGGGGAGAGGTGGGGGGGAGGGAAGAGACTGCTTTCCGAGAGTGTGTGAAGGGAAAGGAGACGGCTTTATAGAAGTGTTGCAGGGGGGTAGTAAGAACACTTTTGAAAGGAGGTAGATTTTACCTGATGCCCCCTAACTGGTAGAGGCGTGCCTTCTGAAACTTGAGGGAGGGGTAAGCGTGACTTTCTGATTGGAGACGGAATCGATGTTTGGCTGCGTTGCGAGTGTTCAATTTGATTACCCACTGAATTGTAAGCGAGCTTACGCTGCGACGTATCAGCTCCTAACATGTTTGTGGAGGCTTTTTCCTGAATTTGCTATCTTTAGCCATATTCACCCGATAAAGGCCCTCCGATGGAGCGTGGAATGCAAACCCACGCTGTAGAGATCTGAAGCAATTTGCCATTCAACAAAACTCATTTTGTTGCTATTTTTCAGTGACGTGCGTAGGGAGCTACATCAGGTAGCAACGGCTCGAAAATGCCGTGATGCTAGCGATCAGGGTTTTATTGGGTGGTTGATGTCCTTCAATCCGCCTTTAAACTGTCGACCTGTCCTCTTATTTCCAAGGTATTATCCTGGAAGTTTCTCTATTTCGAGTCAGGGTGAAGCTATGACTGGATTTACATGTCACATGCTCTAAACCTGATCCAGCTGGCTGTTCTGGATGCAGTGATAAGCTATTGTTTGATAAAAGCTTCATTGAGACACTACCCATTCTTTACTTTGACCCAAGAATATTTGGCAAGTTTGTGCAATATCCCTTGTTTCGTTATCCCCATTTCTGTTTCGCAGCTTAACCCTCGCCGGCCGAGGGGGGGGGGGGGCGGGTGCCGCCCCCCCCCCCATAGGGTTTTTTTCGCGATAGCTCCGAACACGCTGGCGATAGAGAGCTGAAACTTGGCATACCTGACCTTTGATCCAAGCCGGATCTTTTGACACCAACCGCATTTTTGGGTCAGGTCAGGTCACTGACCTATGACGTCATAAGTGAACCTCTGCACGGTCTTCAGATGTCGCAACTTCGCAACGCCCTCACTGCCAGAGGAGATGTTACAGGGAAATGAAACTTGCAGGATCTAGTATCCATTATGAGTCCCACAACTTGTATATCTCGGATTTTTCCTAAAGGTCATATGAGGTCAGGTCATTTTTGTGACCTCACCATTATAAGTCAATGGGGAAAAATGAAAACTTCTATTCTGGCGCCGGGAACGATCTCCAACTATCTCAAGCACACAGAATCGTGATTTGATGCACTCCTTGCAAGGTTAGATGTGTCACTTTTGCAATGTTGACCTTGCGTGACGTCATTTATGACGTCATCAAGGTCATATTAGTTTTTCGTCAATAACTCTTGATCAAATTGAGCTAGCGAGTCGGGAAAGACACCAATGGACTCAGGAAGGCCTGCCGAATCGAATGATATGCGACATGACCTCTTTCGACCAACTTCGTGACCTGGGGGTGCTGACCTGACCTTGACCTGAGGTCAACACCCCAAGTTGACCTGACCCGGACAAAAAGTATATCATTCGACGCGCCTGAGCGAGGCGAACACGATGCTGCCAAAATCGGCGCTCTGCGGCCGTTTTTTGCGAAGTTATTCACCAAAAACTGAACCGTACCTTGGGGCACTTGACCTGACCTCAGAGGTCACCGGTTGACCTAGGACCTTAAAATCGGGTACCAATCTCTGCGTCTCGTAACGGCGCACACGCTCGTTTTTTCCGCGACGCGCTAGCTCCACCAGGGGCGAAACGGCGGGGGGGGGGTCGTACCCGCCCCCCCCCCCTCGGCCGGCGCGTATGTAGAAAACCAATAGGTCCGGCGAGGGTTAACTTTGTGAAATTTCGCTTAAATGAAACATTCATTAGCATTCCCCACAATTTTCCCTGCAAGTTACCCGTCTCGGAGACTGTCATTCCGCCGAACCCCCTCCCAAATTGTCGCCGGCCGTGGTCGCTCGCGGCACCTGGACGCCGCCGTGCTCGATAACTCCCTCTGTTCGGCGGTGGTCCGTTCCCGGTGTCCCTCCTCTCTGTCCGTCGGCTGCGAGCGCCAGATAACGCCGGTCCACTGTCCCGAGTGCTGGCGGCATTTTGGAGCCGTGAAGAGTTCTCCCGTGTGATGGTCTGAGTAGCGGCGAAGAACGGGGTGGGACGGTGTCAAAGGCTTCAATCCCGGGCTAGGCAGATGTGATACGCTTTGTGAGAAATAATACAATAGAAACATTTGTTGAGGTTGGACGCAAAAATGAGCACATTTTAATGCCACTTTTCGAAACAGAGAACACCCAAACTTTAAGTTACTGGACCACCAGTGAGGCTGCTCAGTGTTCAGTTTTTTTTCTTTTTTACATGATGCTCAGTTCTTGCCTTGCACCTCACACAGGTTTTTTCCCCTTTTTTTACATGATGCTCAGTTCTTACCCTGCACCTCACGCAGGAAGATAAGTTATTGGCGTCATATAGCCCTCAGAGGTTGGACACGCCACAAAACCCAATCATCATCATCATCAGTGTTCAGCTTAGCTGGCCCCGTCAATACTGCTTTTCTGTAGTGTAACTGAAGCACATTTACAGCGTGGGTTGGGTGGGATACCATCATTATTTATGTTTGCCTCTGTTGGCTGCCTGAATAAGCTGAAAATTGCTTCTACTCTATCGGAATTTCCCGAACCTGACACATAATCAGATAGGATTTACCGAAGAGCAAGCTTCGTATCTAACACAGCAGAACGTGAATGGTAAAAACCTGAGAATAACAGCTGACATTAGATGGTCTGACAGCAGAATGAACTGAGCCATCAGCGACTGCTGCATTGTATCTCTGCTGTCGGTTTGTTCGGCGTCCCGTCCGGTCGGAGGGCGGCGCTTTTTTGTCCCGTCGCTCTCCGTCGGCGGCGACGACGGCGCCGTCGGGGCCGACGGGGCACATCTGATGGCTCCATCGGGGCGCGTCTGATCGCGCCATCAGCCCGCGGCGGCGCCCATCGCGCCGGCACACACACATGAGCGCGCCGACACAAAGAGGCCTGCCGCCGTCCCGCCGCGCGCCGGCCGACCGGCGGCCACTAATGCTGTCATCGCTCGCCGACCGCTACTGTGTGTGGGGGGGGAATCAGATTAGCCTGATATGCAGGGTCTGAGCTAATCGTCCGTGATGATGGTTTGACAATCGCTGAATTTCTCAATTGATAGGGAATATAACGTCATATTGATGCGATGCAGAGGTTTGGACGGGATTCGACCGGTCATCTATAGTTATGGCCGGATCATAACTGTTTAATCGTAGCTGTTATGAACATATGACTCGAACTGCCACGTCGTTCACTGATGTCAGGCCGTGTTTCACTGGCCGTTCGCAGGAGCGGCCACATCAGTTCGTTGACGTTCATTTGGTGGCGGCAGTGATCAGTATCTACCGTGCATAAATGGAATGGTCGTATTAAAACACCATTAAATCCCTCATCCCGCCATTACGAGCGCTACGCCCCGTAATGAGACGGCTTCGGTTCAACGAACGGCCGCATATTGCTATTCGCACTGCTCGCCTATGTTCAAATCTAAATGATCGACCACAAATTGCGCTCGCTTAGCTATTATGTCGTCGCGTTATTAGCGAATGGTGTGATTGACTGAGGCCTAGCGTAGTCATTCCACCCATCGCGGTGTCTTCGGTCTCATAGGGGATATTTCTGCCCCTCCCTTGAATGATTCCTGCACTCTTGTAACCTGCCTGGCGTCCGACTAGGTCCAAGAACAGACCATTAGCCTGCCTGAGACGCCAGGGGCCTGGAGTATTCATCATCAGATGTGTTCGGCCATTCCATCGTAATTATTCTGAGAAATTCTTGTCCATATTCATCGATTTTTGGTCTGTCTTCATCGTGCGATTGCAATACTTCGCGACCTGCAAATGTCCTGTGCGTCACGTGACCAGCTCTCGTTACTCCGCAGGTGCTCTTCACCTGCCTGAAGCGCAACGACAAGCGTGAGATCAAGGTGGCCCAGCTGGTGGGATCTGTAGCCGAGATGTCGGCCTACCACCACGGCGAGATGTCGCTGGCGTCCACCATCATCAACATGGCGCAGAACTTTGTGGGCAGCAACAACATCAACCTGCTGCTGCCGGTGGGCCAGTTCGGCACCCGGCTGCAGGGCGGCAAGGACGCGGCCAGTCCGCGATACATCTTCACCATGCTCAGGTGGGTGGGAACGGAGGGTGTGCGGACGGAAGGCGCTCTGCGATGACGGTATGATGACGTGTCCTTGCGGTGGACTGTGGTGGCGCGCTGTCGATGGAGGGGGGGGGGGGGGGGGCGCTCGCCGCGACCAGCTCTTGAGTTGCGGCGACTCGCGACCAGCTGCGCTCTTGAGTTGCGGGTCGAGTGGCTGGCTGCGCTGGAGCATTTGAGCTGAGCGCTTGTGTAATAATAGTTTCTGTCGGGACGGCCCCCATTTGTTCGTATTTGTGACGTCACCGAAAGCCTTGCAACGCTTTGTATGGCTTCTTTCGTTCACTTACTGGTACACAATTGAGTAAGTCAATTACTAATTCAGTTACAAAGCAAGTACTGCGCACTGAAGAGGCGCTTTGCCCAATCTGGGGACTGTGCTTTTCAAGTGAATAGAAGCGGTTCCGTTTGCCGTATTTATGGTAGATTGGCAGGTGCCTAAAATTACCCTGCGACAATAACAACGTAACTCAGTTATTAAAGCACCCTGCCTTAGGTCAGTGTCAGCTGACACCGTATTGATATTACGTAGTTTCCTGGTGGTGCTGGCGGGGCACGTCATTTAACTGTGTGTTTTGCTCATCCTGTAACATTGTTTATAGCATAAAGCAAATAATTTTCCTCCTCTGAAGAAACAGTTTTAAAGCATCGCTCACGCTCAGGGTATATGCTCACGCTATAGTTTTGCCAGAAATCGCCTTGTTTTTCCATACCAGCTCAAATTGCACAATAATTTACTTAATTCACGATCTGTGACCGTAATATGTAGCTCTCTCCAAGTCAAATTGCTTTTGTATCAAGCTGGAAATATGTTTCACGAGCTCATACGTTCTCTGAAAAGTGTGGGGCGATGGGTGACGTATCAATAACCCGGGTCATTGTGGCCGTCGCTGTTTTCCAATAGCCCCCGATCATCGATAAGGCCGGCGTGTCCGAAATCACAACCGGTACTGGGGGCTATTTCCGTCTGAATGGCCCGCTGATCGATCCTTACTGCAGCCGCGGCCCGGTACCGGACTCCTGGGGACTCGGAGCGGGGGGGGGGGGGGTACCGGATCCTAGTTGAGCTGTGACAGGTCAATCGCACGCTCCACACTGGGGACAGGGTCTTGGCGCAGGTCAATGTAAGGTTTCCCTGAGGGTCTTGGGGAAATTCCGTGTCTACAAACGTTCATAAACACGTTTTCATTGTTTCTTTGGACGGTAGGGCTTGGTGCATGTCATCTTCATATTCCAAATAGATATTTACTTTGATGCAGTTAAGCATGTAGGTTCAGCTTTGCGACAGACCCGCCTGATTGAAATAGACCTTTCGGTTATTGATTATGTCGTCCTTCCGGAGTTTTGGAATTCCACGGTTATTTGGCTGTTCGATTTGCATGCCAGTAGAAACGAGAGTGCAGCGGAGCCTCATATCAAGCGTGATGGAATCTAGTGTTAGGGAGAAAAGACCATCGCTGTGTGAAAGACAATCGTTTGCGACATGAGTGTGAGTTCGAAGGAAACCCGTAACATTTGACGGTCATAAGATAGGCGATTAGGAGTCAAACCATCATTTGTTGTGCTGGAATAGCAAAAAAAAGTAGCTGTTCGGTGGCATTATGTAAGCTTGCGTGCCCAAGCATGTGCTTCATCTTAATCATTTAATTTATTCGAGTGGTGCTGTCTTCATAAAGGAGCAGCTGGTAACAAGTTAGCACAAAGTGCAGTCCCTTGACAAGCCACATCACATTTCGATATTCAATATCCTGCGATGCTTGCCACTTTGTCGTTTTATAGACTTGTATGACAGTTGTGTCGCCACATGTAACTGGCGAGTGCGAACCCTTGTAGTGTCTGGGACACTGACGAGCATAGGTGTGGAACAAGTGAAGTGCGGCCGATAGGCCGTACTTCACTAAATGGAACAGTCCCCGTAAGCCTATTTATTACACCAAAATAATTATCTAGGTAGAGTTCGGTTTCCTTTGAATTCTCAGTAATGTGCCTAATTTTCCTTTCTCTTGCACCACACCCCCTATTCGAAAAACTACCGCGATGGTTTCTCTAGAAATTCTATTGAACAGTTACAGGCTCGCGTTTGGACCTGGTGCAAGAGAAATCATCACCGTTGGACAGATCTCTTTTCTCTTGATATTGTCAACGTGTGCTGATAACTTAAAATGCATGTCGCTCTTGGCGCTCTTGGCGTTTCATCCATGTGACTAATGGGGCAACTTTACGCTCCACTGACTACTTTAGATAAGCGGCCGGCTTCTGGAGCCAGTCGAGATAAAGCGGACTATTCATGCTCTGGACAAAAGAGAGTCGTTAATAACAGAAGATAGCCAGAGGACACTGGTGATTGATAACTCAAAAGTATCTTTTCCTGAACCTTTGTGTCTCGCGTTTCAAAACCGGACACAACGCGGCACTCCTGGCCACCTGATAATGGTTGGCGGCTTAGAAGGAAAAAAATGATTGCTGAAAGCTGGCCCCTCTGTCGCGTTCTTCGTCTCCGAATATTGCTCGCTCGTTGACTGGCGTATCCGCCATTCTCTGTGGGCGTTTTTCCCCGTAACCGATCGCCGTGGCTGATTGCGATTCTCGTTGGTCCCACGAAGCAGCCGATGGCTGTTTTCGCTCCGCTGTGGCGAATAGACAGACCCGCATCCGACTAATGCCGGTGTTTGGTGTCGCTGCGTCGGAACTTTATGCGGCTGATAGCAGCCTGCATGGACTGTTATTTGAGCCGTTTTTGCAACACTAGACGCTTTTTTCCATGCTGGGAGTCTCTATTTGATAAGAGTGGAATAAAGTGGTACCCATTGAATGGAAATCGTCGCTGAGCGGATTACATTTCTGTGTTTTGTGTTCGCTGGCTCAGTAATTTGCCTTTCTTGGGGATTATTTTATCGACTCAGGAATAAAATGGCATTTATATTTCATTCGTACTGGATTAAAATGATTTTAATATCCCCTGCCTTGAATTTATCCGTTCACAGTTGCTACTGTTTAACCCGCGCCCCGCTGGGCTATTCAGCCATACGCGCCCTGCTGGGGGGGGGGGCAGATTCTGCCCCCCCTGTCTAACTTCCGAACCGATGGTCGTAGAAAGACGGGGAAAACGGCAATCGAAAGCTCTCAACAAGGCGGATCTTAAGAGCCCAAATTTTTTTGCTTAAGTAGGTCAGAGGTCAGGTCAAGGTCAGGTCAAGGGTACAAAATGCAAGTTTCTACAGTATCGGCCTTGCACCGTAGTTGCCGAAGAATGGACTGAGACTGATTGCCCAAAACGTGTTATTAGACTACCAAGACAATATTCGTTGCACACAATGTCATTCAAAGGTCAAGGTCAAGGTCAGGTCAGGTCACCAAAAACAAAATATAGAAAAGGGCATGTGCGACACATGTTTTATGGGTCATTTTACTCATGGAATTCAATAGGCACACTCAATAAGTGATATGGACCACCTCTGGATGAATTTCAGGTCGAGGTCAGGTCAAGGTCAGGTCAAGTGAGGTCAAATTTTGAAGTTGGTTGTTAAGGCCTAAAAAGGTGTCTATCCGATGCAGTTTTTCACGGCGAATCGAATGGTGCTATTTTTGTTTCCGTACGAGGTCTAGAACTTCTAAAAAAATCATTTTTCAAAAAATTTGTGTGTCGTGACGTCATAAAATTTTGAATAACTCCCACATCTTTGAACCGATTCTTCTCAAAATTGGTATGTAGGTGCACATAGACCACTTCTTTGACATATATTCCGGTTTTTTCGATAAACTCAAAATTTTGGATTTTATAAATATTTTCCCAAAAAAGTCAGTTTTTTGGAAAAATTTTGGCCAAAATCCAAAATTTTCAAAAAACCGAGATAGCCATTTGATAGACAAAGTAGAATCACGTATAACCTTTTTTGTTACGTCTTGATTCCTTTAAAAATGAAGAAGTTAGCGGCGTTTGAAATTTTGCCGTTTTTGAGGCGAAAATGGCGAACATGACGTCACTAAAACGTCAATTTCTCAAAAATTTTCCGACGGATTTCGCTCAAATTTTCAGGGAACGTGTCAAATTGATGTATGATAAGGTACTGAAAGTTTGACGTCGCTGGCGTAACGCGTTTAGAAGTTATTGGCGAAAAACGGGAGGGGGGGCAGATTCTGCCCCCCCCCCCAGCGGGGCGCGGGTTAAGGCACGTTACAGTTCCGGGGGGGGGGGGAGGTCGCTTTGCTGGTATGTTTTTCGTAAAGCTGTCTTTACTTTCTTCTTGTTATGGTCGATCTATGGCTTTTTTATGAGAAAGCTTCATACATTTTTCTCTATTTCTTAGCTGTCGACACTAACCCGGCAGGCGGTGGGCCTCCCAGCCACCTTCCGCGCGGTGGGGGGGGGGGGCATTTCCCCCCTCGTATCTCCGAAACTACTGGACGGATCCGGAAAATTCAAACGGCGTTCGATAGCCCTGTCAAATTTGTCGAAGGAAACCAAATTTCATTGACCTCGGGGTCACCGATGACGTCACAGGTCAGGTCAAAGATAAAATGTTTCACCGTTCACGGGGCTTCTAGGGAAAGCGCTATAACACCGAGTAAAACGCATTTTGTCGAAAATCAGCGATAAGGCGTCAGTTGCCTAGTACATATGTTGCTATTAGAGGTCACTGGTCATACCAGGTCAGGTCACAGGTCAGGTCACCAAGGGTCACCACATGAGCCCAACTTTACCAAGGTTGTGCGATGCATGTTTTATGGCCAGTTTTTCATTTCCAACTCAATGGTATTGGTTATAAGACCATCAGGTACGGTTTAGGTCATTTCTGGTGGAGGTCAGGTCAAGGTCAGGTCAAAAAAGGTCAAATTTCAAAGTTGATATTTTTGCATAAAATGGGTATCGAATCGATGCAGCTCGTCACGGGGAGTCTAATGGTGGTCTTTGTTTTGCGCTACGATGTCTAGAATTGCTAAAAATTGAGTTTGAAAATTTTACGTCATCAATTTTGAACAGTTTTTTCGCTATAACTTGACCAAAAAAAAGAGGTATTGATCTCAAATTTGGTATGTAGATAGAAGGCGGTAGGGACTATCACATATATTCCGGTTTTTCGAAATTCAAAAAAAAATGGATTTTTTGGCTATTATATTCAAAAAATCTATTTTTTGTTTTTTGGGGGTCAAAATAAAAAAAAAATCGAAAAACCGAAATAGCAGTTTTGTAGCCCTCTTAATTCCACACCTTTTATGTCGGAACATTTTTCTGTATCCCTAAAGCTGTAGGCCTGAGAGCTCTTCCCGCGAAACTTTTTGGGGGTCGAAAATGGCAAAAATGACGTCACTCTGACGTCATTAGCGGCCAACCTATCATAGCCTTTGGAAAAATTTTTGGTCACCATGTGCGCTACCTACTCCCGGGAGGGTACTGAAAGTTCGGTGACGATCTGCGCAGCGGTTCTCGAGATATATCGAAAAAACTAAAGGGGGGGGGGCAAAAAATGCCCCCCCACCGCCTGGAAGGCTAAGCATTGCGATGTAAAAACACGTCTAAAGGCCGCCCCACACTGGACCTCGCATGCGGGTTGCGAGTTTGCGGGTTTTGAGTTAGCGGGCATAATACTAATTCATAGTGATTAGACCGTTCCCTTATGGTAACTTTATGCTTACAGTGAAGCCGGTGCACCTTCAGAAAATAACATATAGTCGCAATACCAGCGCAAGAAACAAAATTCGACTCCAACGAAAAACCCGCAAGCCTCGCAGAACTCGCAGACCTCGCTGCGAGGAAAATCAAAAGTTGACTTAAAACGAGCTTTTGGAATGCGATGTAAGGTGGCTCGCAAGCTAAAAACATGCAGACTCGCTTGTTACATGGTAGTGTGGGTCACTCAGCTTAGATTGTATGATTTGATTTTGAAGAAGCCCGAAAAACCAAAAACTCGCAACCCGCATGCGAGGTCCAGTGTGGGGCGGCCTAAATCTCTTGGAGATATGTTCCGGGCTGTATGGAGTTTTATGTCTATTGACTCTGCAGCTCAACAGTCGACGATTATTTTTTATTTTATACATTTTCTTTGTTTATTCTGTTATAAATGTCAGCTGCCAAAATAAGAGACGCATTTTGTGCCGTTTATTGATATGATTTTGCGACACTTATCTACACAATAATCAACGTGAAGATGATAACAATGAAATCCGTTCCTCCTTACCTCGGATCGCGAGTTATTAAATATGGTTCGTAAATGGTCCGTAGGTATTTCGCCGTGTGACGTTTTTACTGATTCGATTCTTGCAGTTCTCGCAGCCTAGTTCTTATAATGTCTCAGAAACTTCTCTGTCTGAATATAAGCTCGTACCTATTGCGTAGTAACATATTGAGAGCATTTAGCGATTTCTTCCATTAAGAAATGAAGAGATCGTAGAACATAGTTGAATATTGAATACGTCTTCTATGGTATCGTAATGCTCATTTTGCTCATTTTGCTCATCATGTTCATTGTTCATGCAGAATGCTCACTTTCAGTCTTTTGTCCCTGGTTAGAAAAAAAAAATCCGGCCAGAGAAGAACCCGATTTCTGGCGCCAGATTGTATAACAAACTATTAGATTTTATAGCGGCAGGCTGCCAGACCATAATTACATATTGGGATGTGTAGTACACATTTTTGAATCTTTGGACTGCACAAACAGACTTCAAAGATAAATACTGGAGCATATATTTTATTCGGGAGAACAAAATGTTTTGGGCCTGCCTGTGACGAAAGGGTCTTATTTCCACTAGTAACCGGCGCCCCTCGTCTGTTTTCCAGTCCGGTGACGCGTGCCATCTTCTCTGCGTCGGACCTGCCGCTGCTGAAGCACCAGATGGACGACAACCAGCGCATCGAGCCCGAGTGGTACATCCCCATCCTGCCCATGATTCTGGTCAACGGCGCGGACGGCATCGGCACCGGCTGGATGACCAAGATCCCCAACTACAACCCGAGGGAGATTGTCGAGAACCTTCGCCGCATGATGCGAGGGGATGACCCTCAGCCCATGGTGAGAGGGAGGGAGAGAGAGAGAGAGAGAGAGAGAGAGAGAGAGAGGGGGAGAGAGAGAGAGAGAGAGAGAGAGAGAGAGAGAGAGAGAGAGAGAGAGAGAGAGAGAGAGAGAGAGAGAGAGAGAGAGGAGCAGCTAATTCAAGCATTGCTTCTAATCTGATTATGTGGATGATGCATCTGCGGGAGCCACTGAATACAAACCATAGGCAGACTAGTTAGGTCGTTCTACATTTTCAGCTCGTCACATAAACTCCAGATGCGCTCGGTGAGAGTGGCTGTAGTACAGATAATATAGAGTTGTAATAAGAACGTGGGCAGCGACCATCAGGCAAAGGTGAGCAGATGGGTAGATAGTTGCTCGATCGGGGTGCGGTCGCACTGCTCAGGTGGATACGATGCGGTGTTTATTAACGCCAGCAAGGAAATATTGCCAGGCTGAGGCGAAACAACAAGCGAGCGTGACCGTCTTATTGCAATTCGCTGCTCAATATATCACTAGAATTGTCTTAGTGGCATGTAAGGCATTTATGGGATTTCCTGTGAATGTCAGGTGTGAATTTCTGAATGTCAGGTACTGTTAGTCCAATTTTACGCCAATATTGTAGCAGATTCGCTGTCCCCTTGGCGACACTGTCCTACCACGGTACTAGCCACATTTTTCTTCAATACTGACCTTCCCCAATGCGGCTGTCTTTCATTTAACCGCCCGCATATCCTCCTACATTGGGGCTGACGCGTTGTCTCGACTGTCGCTCCGTCATAGAATGACAGCGAACAGAGCACGATCAAAGCATCTCTAGGTCACAGCGAGCGCCATCCGACCCGCACCACCTAACCAAATTAGAATACCTGCATCTCGTCACCTCTCGGAATTCGGGACGACATTTCCCGGGAAAGTGGCGGAACGGCAACGACTATGCCTCTTATCTAACGTGCTGTCGCACTGTGAGCCTCCTGCCCCCCCCCCCCCGTCAGCCTCGCCCCTCCGTCCCTCCCTGTGTCCGCTCCCCAGGGATAGGGGGCTCTAGGACGCGTGCATCCGTAATGGGGTCACACGCATACACGCACCTACGTATCCACACACGCATACGTCTCTACGCTCGCACGAATACATACACAGCAATCTCCGGTTGGGTGAGCGTGTGTCATTCCTTCGCAAGTGAGGGAAGGAGACGGCGGCTACCCTTCGTCATCATGCGTGTCGTCTCTGTCCGAGGCGGTATGAAACCTTGCATATTAATGGGGGCCGCGTGTGGCCGGGGCGGCGGCAGCTGCGTTATTCAGGCGCCATACATATGTGTGGAGCGCTGAGGTATTCATTGCGGTCGGGTGGTGGTATCGCCTGACTGCCGAGTGTGCGTTCGGCCGCACAGCGGCGGCGGCCGGTGGGACGTGAACAGCCTCCGCGACATTTTCCGCCCGGTGAATGGCGGCCAAAAGGAGCCGGGGAGCCCCAGTGGAGCTGATTTCCTCCCATGCTGCTTCATACTGCCATATGCTGCCCACCGGCGCCTCAGACATCGTTCCATGGACACGCGGAATCTGAATCAGTGATTGTGGATTTACCACCTCAATAGAGCTAGTTGCTGATATATGCAAAAGGAGTGAGAGGACACGCGTTGCTAAAAGTTATTCCAGTGACCTTTGTAAGCAACAGAAGTCGAAAATTTATTGGACGCAAATTTGATAATCCGTATCACAAGCGCCCATTTCATGGAATCGGGGTCACTGGCGAGACCAATATAGTTCTGCCAGGCATATGTGCGCGGCGCGTCAGCTAATATCCACACCGGTTTGGGAGGCGGAGGTGATATGTCTGTGCGCTTGTGTGTGCGAAGAACACACGGGAGCTCATCATCTGCGAGGTCATGGAAATATGGAGACGGAACTGGCACCTGTTACCATACACCAGCTACTCATCCGCCACCTGTGTAGGATATAGGGCGGCACTGTTGACTTTCCTTCAGGTGCGCGATATAGAAAGTAAGGGTGTCGTGATCTCTTATCCTCTATCCATGATGTGCAAGCTGTGGATGCCCTGGGAACGTGATGGTTGCCCGTAATTTCACATGAACTTTGGAAAATTGAGTACTCACCGCACTAAGTGCTGTCGGTGGCTGTCATGAGTGGGCTGGGCTGTGTTATCGACGTTCGCTATGGCTATACGATGCAACTATTTACAATAGGATTGAGCTAAGGAGTTGACGTTTGGGCAAATCTGCAATATTTCAAGTGGCATAAACGGAAAAAATTCATTGCTCATGCACTCGGTTTTATATTCATGCATTTTGCATCTATCAATTTCCTCGGACTGTGTTTCTATGCATGCTTTATAAAACACTGCCATCTGCACTGAACTCATCCGGGGCATTATTTTAAGTTATTTTCTCAAGAGCCCTATCAAAAGCATTCTACTGCCCCGTATTATCGACTTAGCAAAGACAGAGTTACGCGTAAAGACGGTGCTTTCCGTTAATTCGGGACACCGTCCGGCGGAAGCAGGGCGGCAGCACGAGAAACGCGTCCTATCCTTAGTTGCGTCTGATCATCATAAACAAATGAACAAAATGCAACAGCACGTCTTTTAGCGCAGAATGGGCCCCACTGTCTTCATCGTTTTTACATTGCAGCCTCGTTATTTGCTCAGAGATATTCTGAGAGAGTTAAGTTGATGTTCACGTTTCTTTATTTTTAATTTAATACATTTAAGTGTCCGCCAACTCTGTTACAGCCAGGGTATTGAAAGACGTGCGACGTGATTTCTGTCTTCGTTCTGTAAGGCACGGAAGGAATAAAGCGCATGTAAAATCGCAGTCATCCCATAGATTGTCCTGCAAGCGTACGTTCGCATACTCTGCTTTGGAAATAGTCGGTGTGATGCTTCTGACAGAAGTCATAAACACCTGTAACAAAGCGGCAGGATCTTCACATGTCCCCTCCCACCCATAGAAACCATGGTTCAAGAACTTCCGCGGCGAGATTCTGGAGGCCTCGCCGCAGCACTACATTATGAGCGGCGAGATATCGGTGCTGTCACCGACCCAGGTGGAGATCACCGAGCTTCCTGTGAAGACGTGGACGCAGCCCTACAAGGAGTTCCTTAGCCAGCTGCTCAACCCAGAGAAGGGAAACCCCATGATCAGGTGAGGGCTGACAGGGAGGATAGAGGGGGGATGTTGTGACTTGTGGGGTGTTTCGTCAGTCGGTTTTTGAGTCCGAGCTGCAATACTTGTCAGAAATACTTCTCAAGCCATGCATCAGGTGATTTGGTTGTTCCAATCGTGTATGTGCCACTTTAGTGAGTCTTGTGCATTGCTTGCGGATCACAGTCAAAGCCATAGAGAACAGCTATATTTACATACCTGTCCTTGGTTTACTGACCTTTAAATATGGTAAAGGTTTTTGTCGCACTGGTCTGTCATTTGTTAAGATAAGATTCCTAAAATACGGACAAACTTTTCTGAATGTGAACGCACTGATCTCATCGCCGAAGTTTCATATAATTCAGCACTCAACCAGCTATCCGTATTCCGTAACCTTGAAAGAGGTTTCCAAGTGAATTGAAGACTTTGATCTTAGCCTTTGGCCAGACTTTTAAAAGTCTAGCAAGTTTTGATTGAATTCTGCCAAGCCATATAAAAAAATGTCCGCTCAGCAAACGGTTATTTTTAGGCATTTGCCAAGGAAACAGGTCGGTGCATATCTCCCATCTCCACATTTCGTTGGTCTTGTGGTATGTGGACCAGGGCTGTGAGGCTTTCATATTCGGTACAAAAAGTTGCCAGTTGTCTTTCAGGGCGTACTAGATGGCATGTTTTGCGCTATAACTGTGCGTTTTGATAGATGCGTTTGATGGGGCATTAGTTTGGGTGTGGGAACTTGTGATTTTTATTTGTCTTATTTTGTCGGAGTTGGATATTTGTTTGAACGGCATGTTATGCTGGTGCTGGTTGCGGGTTGTTAGAGCCTTTCTCATGGTTTGCCTTTATCGAACTCAAACCCACCCTACCCTACCCTAACCTACCCATACCCTATCTTACTCATAACCTACACATAGTTACCCTTCTCATACTCGATTAAAGTAATGTACCAAATTTGAGCGCAATCGGCCCAGCCGTTCTTGAGATATAAAACTGGCCCACTGCACGTGCGCACGCGCGAACTGAGACTCTAGATGACTTGTGCCAGTCACCCTTCTAAATTGTTCCTAACGGTGTACAAAATTTGAGCGAAATCGGCCCAGCCGTTCTTGAGATGTATAAGTGGACCCCTCACGTGCGCACGTGCAATCGATCCACCCTACCTGTCACAAATGACCATGCATCGCCAGATGAGTGCCCCCTCCACCCACAGTCCAAGTTTCAGCGCAATCGGCCCAGTAGTAGCTGAGTTATTCCTAGTACAGAAATGTGCTGTTTACTGGAAGGCGCTTATTTTCAGTGTTTGGAATTCCCCTTGGCGGGCGGTGCATTGCAGCCCATGCTTTGATAGCTTATTGTGAAAAGTTGAATGGCCTGCCTGCCGAACCCATCGATCGGATTTTGTCGAAAAATACCTGTAACGTTAACAAAACACGGTCGTATGTTTGAGTTATTTTCACAAAAGTTTATTGACTTTCCGATAATATTTTGGGTGGAAATTGGTCAGAAAAGAATGCTCTTTCCGAATATGTTCGTTTCATAGCGATTGGTCAGCGTTTTCAATACGTTTTGATGTTGTAAAGGACGTCGCGCTCCGCGCGAATTAAATTTTCAAATTAATTTTTCATTATTAAGGAAATGGTACGGATCATCACTTCTTATTTGTTTTCCTATCATTACACATACATTTGTCTGCAAAATGATACAACACCGATTTCATTCCGTCAAGCCGTTTTCCAGCGGCATCGATTTTCCCGTCACAATGCACGAAATCGGTCATTTTTTCACAACCGGGGGTATTCCCTTGCACGTGACGCGTGCTATACTATGAAACCATATCAATACGCTAGTTCCATCTCTCCTCTATCCAGTGATGACAACCGCATCTCGCTGCGCCCACCCGTTGCCGACTCATACAGCCGGGAAGCATGCGCCGCAGGTTGGTTTTCGCCCGATCGTCGATTTGACCGTTTCCCGTGTTATCCCTATGGAAGCGCCCTTTTGCACGTGCCGACGGCGCACCCCTGGGCCAATCCGTCCCAAATTTTAATACAGAGGTCACATCAACCCACCGATTCGGCATGCCAAATTTCACGCCGATACGCGGCGCCTTTCAGGCGCAATAAGACACATAAGGCATGACGGATTACGCACGGACATGTTATAATTCATAATATAGACTAGATGGCCATGTTCGCGCGATAACTGTATAGATTCGATAGATGTTGTTGATGGGGCCATTAGTTTGGATGTATGAGGTTACATTTTTATTTGTATTAGCTAGGTGAAGTTTGAGGTTTGGTTTTAATTGAACGGTATGGTGTCTCGGTGCTGGTTACGAGTTGCTAGAGCCTTTCGTGAGTTGGGCCCTTATTGCACTCAACTCTACCCTACCCCAAACTACTCTACCCTGCCCATACTCATACCCTGCCCTGCCCATAACCCACCCTGCCAATACCGTACCATGCCCTGCCCATACACTACCCACACTCTATCCTACTCATACCTTACCCTTCACCACATAGCGTACCTTACCCTACTCATAACCTCCTCACCCTCAATCGAAGCGATGTACCAAATCTGAGCGCAATCGGCCCAGTCGTTCTTGAGATATAAAAGCGGCCCACTGCACGTGCGCACGCGCGAACTGAGACTCCAGATGACTTGTGCCAGCCACCTTTCTAAATTGTCCCCAGCAGTGTACAGAATTTGAGCGAAATCGGCCCAGCCGTTCTTGAGATGTAGAAGCGGACCCCTCACGTGCGCACGTGCAGTCGGTCCACCCTACCTGTCACAAATGACCATTAATCGCCAGGTGAGTGCCCCCTCCGCCCACAGTCCAAGTTTCAGCTTAATCGGCCCGGTAGTAGCCGAGTTATTCCTAGTACAATAATGTGCTGTTTACTGGTAGGCGCTTATTTTCAGTATTTGGAATTCCCCTTGGTGGGCGGTGCATGGCAGCCCATGCTTTGAAAGCTATTGACGAAATTTGAATGGCCTGCCGGCCATAAGCCATCGATCGGATTTTGTCGAAAAATACGTGTAACGTTAACGAAACACGGTCGTATGTTTGAGTCATTTTCACAAAAGTTTATTGACTTTTCGATAATGTTTTGGGTGGATATTGGTCAGAAAAGAATGCTCTTTCCGAATATGTAGGTTTCATAGCCAGTGATCAACGTTTTCAATACGTTTTGATGTTGTAAAGGACAACGCGCTCCGCGCGAATCAAATTTTCAAATTAATTTTTCATTATTAAGGAAATGGTACGGATCATCACTTTGTATTTCCTTTCCTCTGATTACACGTACATTTGTCTGCAAAATGATACAACACCGATTTCATTCCGTCAAACCGTTTTCCAGCGGCATCGATTTTCCCGTCACAATGCACGAAATCGGTCATTTTTTCGCAACTGGGGGTGCTGTCTTGCACGTGACGCGTGCTATACTATGAAACCATATCGATACGCTAGTTTCATCTCTCCTCTATCCAGTGGTGAAAACCCCGTGTCGCTGCGACTCTCCGTTGCCGACTTATACAGCCGGGAAGCAGGCGCCAAAGGCCGGTTTTCGTCCGATGTTCGTTTTGACCGTTTCCCGTGTTAACCCTATGGCGCACGCGAGCGCGTGCTGACGGCGCACCCCTCGACCAATCCATCCCAAATTTTAATACAGAGGTCACATCAACCCACAGATTGTGCCCACAAAATTTCACGCCGATACGCGGCGCCTTTCAGGCGCATTAAGACACATAAGGCATGACAGTCGCAGGCACGCACGGACATCTTATAATTCATAATATAGACTAGATGGCATATTTTGCGCTATAACTGTGCGTTTTGATAGATGCGTTAGAGGAGGCATTAGTTTGGGTGTGGGAACTTTTGATTTTTATTTGTCTTATTTTGTCGGAATTGGATATTTGCTTGAACGGCATGGTATGCTGGTGCTGGTTGCGGGTTGTTAGAGCCTTTCTCATGGTTTGCCTTTATCGAACTCAAACCCATCCTACCCTACCCTAACCTACCCATACCCTACCTTACTAATAACCTACACATAGTTACCCTTCTCATACTCGATTAAAGTAGCGTACCAAATCTGAGCGCAATCGGCCCAGCCGTTCTTGAGATATAAAACTGGCCCACTGCACGTGCGCACGCGCAAACTGAGACTCCAGATGACTTGTGCCAGTCACCTTTCTAAATTGTCCCCAACAGTAAATAAAATTTGAGCGAAATCGGCCCAGTCGTTCTTGAGATGTAGAAGCGGACCCCTCACGTGCGCACGTGCAATCGATCCACCCTGACTTATGACTTGACTTATGAAACTTGGACCCACAGTCCAAGTTTCAGCTTAATCGGCCCAGTAGTAGCTGAGTTATTCCCAGTACAATAATGTGCTGTTTACTGGTATAGGCGCTTATTTCAAGTATTTGGGTTTCCGCTGGGCGGGCGGTGCATTGCAGCCCATGCATCGATAGCTATTGTGAAAAGTTGAATGGCCTGCCTGCCGAAGCCATCGATCGGATTTTGTCGAAAAATACCGGTAACGTTAACAAAACACGGTCGTATGTTTGAGTCATTTTCACAAAAGTTTATTGACTTTTCGATAATATTTTGGATGGATATTGGTCAGAAAAGAATGCTCTTTCCGAATATGTAGGTTTCATAGCGATTGGTCAGCGTTTTCAATACGTTTTGATGTTGTAAAGGACGTCGCGCTCTGCGCGAATCAAATTTTCAAATTAATTTTTCATTATTAAGGAAATGGTACGGATCATCAGTTTTTGTTTGCTATTCTCTGACTACACATACATTTGTCTGCAAAATGATACAACACCGATTTCATTCCGTCAAGCCGTTTTCCAGCGGCATCGATTTTCCCGTCACAATGCACGAAATCGGTCATTTTTTCACAACCGTGGGTTTTACCTTGCACGTGACGCGTGCTGTACTATGAAACCATATCGATACGCTAAGCCCATCTCTCCTCCATCCAGTG